AGGGGGGCGACAGGGAGGAGTGTTTTTTTCAGGACGAGGGCGAGGACGGTGGCCTGCCTTCGCAGAGGCAGGAGGAGGCAGGCAGGAGAAGGAGGAGGAGGGGGCAGGAGGCAGGAGGAGGATGAGGAAAATAATCACCCCGGGTTATGGGAGGTTGACCTGGTAAGTGCTTTCAGGCCGGTTCAGTCGTCAACGGGGGAGGTTAGTGGTGGAACGTTCCCGCCGTTATTCATCGTTCCGGGGGGTGAATTTCGATCGGACGCCCCGTCATTTCTCCCAAGTGTGGGGTCTGCCTGCGCGCGATGTGTCAGATTTCGCGTGTCCAGCGAAAGTATCATTACTACAACAGTACTACAACCGTACAACTACTACTATAGTGCTAGAGTACGACTACTACTACTACTACTACTACTACTACTACTACTACTACTACTACTACTACTACTACTACGACTACGACTACTACTACTACTACTACTACTACTACTACTACTACTACTACTACTACTACTACTACTACTATGACTACTACTACTACTACAGTGTTGCTACAGTGCGACAGTATTAGCGTGCTGCTACAAACGTAGAGTACTACAACACTAGAGTACCACTGTATTACTTCTACAGCCGTCACTACAGGATTACCACTACTTCGACTACTACTACTACTACTACTACTACTACGACTACTACTACTACTATCACCACTACCACTACTACTATTACTACTATTGCTACTACTACTACTACTACTACTACTACTACTACTACTACTACTACTACTACTACTACTACTACACTACGACTACGACTACGACTACGACTACGACTACTACTACTACTACTACTACTACTACTACGACTACTATTACTACTACTACTACTACTACTACTACTACTACTACTACTACTACTACTACTACTACTACTACTACTACTACTACTACTACTACTACTACTACTACTACTACTACTACTACTACTACTACTACTACTACTACTACTACTACTACTACTACTACTACTACTACTACTACTACTACTACTACTACTACTACTACTACTACTACTACTACTACTACTACTACTACTACTACTACTACTACTACTACTACTACTACTACTACTACTACTACTACTACTACGACTACTACTGGACTAGAGTACATTAGTACGACTACAGTATTGTATTTCAACGGCTGCAGAAATCGAGCGCTACTACTACAGCAGCAGTACTACAGCGCTACAGTATCAGGGCACGGTGGCCGTACTTGAGCAATGCAGTTTTAGAGTACCACTACCTCAGCCAGCATTCGAGTATTATCACTACTGCAGTACAAGAGTACCCACAATACTAGAGCCTTCCAATACTAAAGTACTAGAGTACGTACAATACTACCCCAGTCAGTATTGGAGCACTATACTACTACTTCTAGAGTACCAGGGTACCTACAATTCTAGAGTACTACCACTACAGTCAGAGCTAGAGTGCTACTATTACAGAACAGTGGGCTCGTGCATAATACTACTGCGTTATTGTTTCTACATAGCGTGGTAGTCCTTAGCACAGAGTACTACTGCACTAGTGTTCAGAGTTCCCAGGGGTGTAATGCTTGAAGGTTGGTTTTTATTGCTCGTGAGACCCCCCCTCGCGCGGCGCCATCGCAGTCGTTATCTATCGCTCCGGGGGGGTGGCCGAATATTTCGCGAGTTAGTTTTGTTATTCGTGCTTCCCGGGACCAGGGTCCCGCGCTGCATTGCCGGGGATGATGGAAAAGGAGGAGGAGGAGGAGAGGGCAGCAGGCAGGAGGAGGAGGCAGGCAGGAGGAGGAAGAGGAGGAGGAAGCAGGAAGAGGCAGGAGGAGGAGGAGGAGGCGGGAGGCGGGAGGCAGGAGGAGGAGGAGGAGGAGGCATAGGGAGCAGGAGGCAGAACGATAATGCTGGAGGAGGCAGGAGGATGAACCAGGATGATGAGCAGGCAGGAGGCATGATGAAAAGGACGAGACAGGAGGACATAGAGGAGAGAGAGAGAGAGAGAGCAGGTGGACATTGCCAGGCAAGGAAAACGCATTCTCATGTTGGGCCCCACCCTTTGCGTAATTTGATAATCGGCCCCCATTCGGGCCCCAGGGCCGTCAGAAATTCTGCCGTCACGAATACATACTCCCCCAAGGAGGGCCAAGGGGCAGAGCTTGAACGGATTTTTGAGAATCGAGGGCCGACGGACGAGGATAGAAGATCGAGGGCCGGAGATCGAGGACCAGGGAAGGAGGAGGAGGAGGAGGACCAGGCGTGGGAAGAGGGAGAAGGAGGGAGGAGGGAGGAATGAGGAGGGAGGAGCAAGAAGGGAGGAGGGATGAGGGAGGAGGAAGGAGGGAGGGCGGGAGGGAGGGAGGGAGGGAGGGAGGGGGGAGGAGCACCACCTTTCCCACTGCCGCGAGTCCCACCATGACCACTAGCAGGACCACCACGATCACCACTTTCAGCCCCGCCGATCCCTGACGCCGACCACGACAACCATTGCCACTACTAGCCTCCCGGCGCTCAGCAACTCGACGACGACAGTACCACGACAACCACCGCAATTACCACAGCGCTGGCGGCAACCACTATTACTCGGACTATACGACCACCACCACGCCGATTTCCACGGCCACCAGGACGACCACCACGACAGCCCCGCCCGACGCCCCCTCTTCCTCTTCCTCTCCTTTCCCTACCGCCCCTGCCGAGCCGCCCCTGGTTGCATTTCTCCTTGCACAACTCAGTGAATTACTAGGACTTACACTTAGAGGCAGAAAGCCACGGGACCAGTTCTCCACGAGATTGTGTCCAGTAGGTGGCGTTTTCCCCCATCCAAAGTTGGGGTTTCTTCCTTTCTCTGGACACTCTCCGCGCAGGAACACCTCCCTCCCACTCTCCGCCTCAATCGCGCATTCACCCCGTCATTGGTCATCATCACCAGCGGTCATCATCATCATCACCACCACCATCATCAGATTCAGTCACTCACCAGCCATCACCATCAGCATCGGCCATCGATCATCATCAACATCATCATCATCACTTGCTCATTCATCACTTCGTCATCACTCACCCCCTAACCTGAATATGGAAAAGGTCTCGAGCAGGAGCGTCGTCTGTGAGTAAATTGTGAGGAAGTCTCAGGCGGGAGCCCTCTCCCTATGAGGCCCGCAGTTCATGTTTTTAATCGGAGCGGGTCATCCTCGAACATGTATATGTCGTCACTTTTGGGCTCCTGAGATTTGAATATGGGGGAAGTATCAGGCGGGAGGCTCCTCTGCCAGTGAATTGCGAGGAAGTCTCAGGCGGAGTCCTCTCCCTATGGGGCCCGCATTTCATGTTTCTAATCCGAGCGGGTCATCCTCGAACCTCCTCTGCCAGTGAATTGCGAGGAAGTCTCAAGCTGGAACCCTCTCCCTATGGGGCCCGCATTTCATGTTTCTAATCCAAGCGGGTCATCCTCGAACCTGTACTGTCGTCATTCTTGGGCTCCTGAGGCCTGAATATGGGGGAAGTATCAGGCGGGAGCCTCGTCTGCGAGTGAATTGCGAGGAAGTCTCAGGCGGGACCCCTCTCCCTATGGGGCCCGCACAACAGTGACGGTTATTTCCAGATTAGCCGAAAGGATTTTCATGTGGGGTATTTGCGTCGGAGTAATTGGCTAGGTGCCCGGAACCATAACCCCAACGCCCGGGGTTCCCCCTCTAGTGACGAGGGTGAGGACCCATTCGGGTGCCCCGGGCCTTTTTGGAGAGGGGGGAGGAGGAGTAGGAGGAGGAGGCGGAAGACCAGAGTAAATTCAATTTGCGTCAACGATGCTACAATACACGCTCCCGTCCCCCGTCCCACGTCCCACGCCCCCTCATAGGGCCCTACGGGCCTTCCTTTCCATGAGAAAGACCACCATTTTGAAAGACCAGCGCCCCATGGGCTTGCCATTCAGGCGAGAGTCGAGAGCCCTTGCATCCTTTGAGGGAGGTGCGCAAAGGCATGCTCATACAGGTCAACGAGATGTCCAGCGATTTCCGGGTGATGAGAAAAGATCGCCCCAGATGTGTAACTCTTGTACAAGTTTGCACATCTGGCCTTGAGAGTCAAGGAGGTCTTAAGCGATAATCCCATTACAAGAAGGAGTCACCCTCCATCCACTTATGGCATTCGTGCGTTCAAGTTTTAAAGTTTGGAAGTCGAAAGTGATTCAACTAGAAGCCATGTTTTGACAAGGAACCGTCCTCTATCCATGTAGCTGGTGCAGTATTTTCACACGGATCCGGACGGCGCTAAAACGAAAGCCATTGTGGAAAGGTTTTGCCCTCCATCTTTAGAGCTGTTGCCCGCTAAAATACGACTGCGCGCGGCGCTGAGGCGAGAACCCCAGTTTGGAAAGGAGCTCCTCGGTATCATCGGAACTGGTGCAGGTTAACAAACCAAAGTGCGCAGCGCTAGGGCGATTGCTCCATTCAGAAAACGGCAATTTCAATATTTGGCATCGCTCGGACGTGTGCGTCGTTTCGGCGAGGATTATCGAAGAGCATCTTGAACCATCTTGCGAAACACTGCACGCACGAAGTCGACAAATGCACGGGGAACGGACGTCCGAGCGATGGCGAGATGTTTGATCTTGGTGTAACTTTTAAGGTGTGTTTTTTTTTAGGGTCCAAGCGAAGGGCCCCACTTTGGCCCCCCTTCATCTTTCAACTGATGCAAACTTGTAAAGACGACTGCGCGCTGCGCTGGGGCGGATTCCACACTTTGAAGACGACCCCTCGTCCGTCTTTGAAGCCGCTGCGAACTTCTGAAACGGATGTGCGCGGCGCTGAGACGAGAACTCCTTTTTGAAAACGACCCCCCATGCATCCTCGTCGTCGTCGTCGTCGTCGTCGTCGTCGTCGTCGTCGTCGTCGTCGTCGTCGTCGTCGTCTATGAGGACCCTGCGGGAGGAGTGTCTGCGGGGGCAAGGGGCGCGGGATGCGCAGGCAGATGGCCGGGGCCCTGGCGCTGGTGGAGGGGATGCCGTCGCCCTGGTACGCGGTGGCGGACGACCTGAACGTCACCAGCTGCGAGGCGGGGCGGGGGCCCGAAGGGGTTCGGTGTGGCCGCTCGGTTTTGGGACCTGGGCCGTCTTCCGAGGAAGATGAAGGAGTTGGGACCGCGCATCTGGGGAGTGCTGGTGCTGGAGTGCTCCCCAGCATAGGTGGGACTGCCACCTCCCGAAGTCCCGGAGGGCAGGGAAAACGCCCCAGACGCGGCCGCCTGGGGTCTACGGGACGCAATGGGGATCGTGCTTTTCGGTGGAACAGGGTGCCAGCACAGGGTCCCAAGACCGTGCGGTGGCGGACTGTGCGGCGGGGTCTTGCGGGATCCCGAAGTCACCGCACGGTCCGTTACCGCACTGCTCCGGTACCCCCAAGAGGTGATGGAGGACACGAACGCAGCGGCCACGCGGGTGGACAACGGCGTGGTGGGCGGCAGGAGCTGGCTTGCCTCTGCTTCTCGTCTTTCTCCGCTATCGCCCTGCACTTGCCTTGACCTTGCTCTCTGACCAGTTTGCTGTGGGTCAATCCACCGACGAGCAGGGGCGCGTTCCTTATCCGAGTCCACAGCCTCCTCCCTCTTTCGCCTCTCTCAGGCCCCCCTTTCCTCCTCTTCCTCCCCTTGCTTCCTCTCCCTCTCTTGTATTCCTCCTCCCTCCTCCGTCCCTCCTGCTTACGCCGCCGTCCCGGCTCGAGGAGCTTGAGTACCGTTACCAGGCAATGGCGAGCCTACCTCGGGACAGCAGCCACACGCGTCGACCGCTACGCAGCGATAGCGAGGTTGGCCGTGCCACGCGAGTCTTTCAGGATTGCGCGGCGCCGCCGCGCAGACACGGCTCGCCGAGGCCGTCTACAAGAATCTGCCAAGCATCGGTGCGCCAGACAGCGCCGCAGCCAAGCACGTGCGTTAGTCCGCATCGCCGCTGCCAGGGCAGCCCTCGCAGATCACCACAGCAGCGGCGCAAGCATGTCAGCGCCACGGCAGCAATCGAGTTCAAGGACCTGCTCACACTGTGGTACGAGGCATGCAGTTGGGGCCACATGGTGTTCGACCTGTTGCCCCAGAGCAAAGGCACGTCGTACGCGACGAGATCGTTCCACATCAGAGCCCCATCAAAAACCCAAAGCCGGTCGGACAGCATCAGCAAGAGCCAGGACACCTCCCAGCCTTCCTCTGCCACGCCAGTGTCGATCACCTTCATCGCGTCTCTTTCCGAGGCTCAGCAGCACAACTTTTGGGCGGATCCGCCTTTGTGTCAGCAGAGAGAGATTCCCGCCTCCAGCGAACCATGTCGGCCGTGCATGCGGTCGAGCAGTCGTTGGAACCCAGACCCGATTTTTGGGCTAGTGCGTTTCAGCTACAGCTGCTGAGTTCGGAGCACAGCTTCCTGCAGTTTAATGCATCAGTAGGCGCACCTGGTCAATGAGAGAGTGTCGAACCAATATTATTACTTTCCCGCGCTGCCGAACGCTTCGAGGAGATTCCGAGGGGCGGAAAGGGAAGCTGAGCTACGCCTTTTCAGAAACACGGCGTCACAGGGAGTCGATTGCCAACGTTGAACGATCTGCGTCATGCCCAACTCACGCTCGCCACTTTCGAGAGGCTGGCCAGCGCCGAGGAAGCCACCAAGAAGGCCACGTTCGAAGAGGAGAGCCTTGGTGGCGCGGCTACTGCCATCCAGTTGTCCTTCCAGCCAGTTTCGCCCTTTGCTCCACGTGTCACTACGGAACTTCAAACAGGTCAAACGTAACTTCGTTCATCATTGGCAAAGTTGGGAGATGTCGGGGGGCATTATTAGCCAATTGCAGGTCGCCTCCAATCGGCCCACGATAGTGCCAAGTACGGACCCGTCGGCAGCAGCACCCGCGCCTTCCGCCTCGGGCCCACTCTCCGCTGCGACAGTTGGCGCGGTGGGAGCCAAATCCGCGCGCGTGGGCAAGGGCGGAGTCATCAAGCAGGGCAAGATGACGGCAGCAGCCAAGCAGCTCGAACGCGCAGCAGTACTTCCAGGTCCGCAGGAACTTTCTTTGAGTGGTCGCGGCAGAATGCTGTCGATGCCCCAGTTCCAGAAGAAGACGACGAGGAACACGAGGAGGGGCCCCCGCACAAGAGGCAGTGCCTCTCCCGCACACAGGCGACGACCAGCAGCCCATGGAGGATGCGGCGGCAGCGGAGGGAGATCGCGTCCTAGGCGCCGCAGGCCAGCATCTTTTCCAAGTGCCTGGCCAGCTGCAGAGGAAGTGCTGGTAGCAGGCGCTACTTGGGCTCCAGCCGGCCATCTTTCCCAATTGTCATGCAGCTGTCCGGGGTCAGGGCCGCATGGGAACCCTCGGCCCACCGAGGCCTCTATTACCAGAGGTTGCTATCGCAGTCCCATGCAATAGGTTCATGATATGTCGGTTGTCTCTTTGAAAAATGGCCCCGTCAGCCCAGTCCTATCTACTGGGTCCTCGCCAGGTATCTGTGCCCAAGGATTGCTCAGGTTTCCCTGAGCCCTTGTGTCTCTACGAGCTCCTCGACATCGCGGACGCACATATTTACGCCGACGGGTCTGGATGACCCACGAGAGGTGAGCCCCCATGGCCTTCTGCTGTCTTCGTCGTGGACATCGCGCGCAAGATGGCTCTCTTGGGCTTCGAAGGTGTTCTCTCCGACTCTGAGGCAGCAAGCAGCTGCTGTCTCTCTCTCTCTCTCTCTCTCTCTCTCTCTCTTTCTCTCTCTTTTTGTTTGTTTTTTTTTGTTTCTTTCTCCCTCTCTCTCCCTCTCCCTCACTCTCGCGGCTGCGCTCCGGGGTGCTCAATGGGCAGCCGCGTGGTTCTTGCAGTCTGAGTTCGCCAGTCTTTGTCATGAATGCCGTCTGCGCGTGCGTTGTGACAGCACAGAAGCTCTCCGCGCGGCTAGAGGAGTAGCGCATGACCCCTGAGTCTCTCACTCGAGGGCTTATCTTGACTGTCTGGCTAAGGTTGCTACTTACACTGCCAAGGGCATTCCGTGGAAACGCGCGGTAGGGTACCCGGCGCAGCCATGAAACGAGCTTGCGGACGTTGCCGCTTCGTTGATTTCGATAAAGGCGACCTTCTTGTTCCAATCTCGCATTGGCGCAGTTGTCTCGCGCGAGACTCAGAGCTTCAACTGCTGCGGCTTCGCTTCGAATCCACGCGGGTTCTAGCGCAATTCCCCCGCCATCAGGCGAGGCCACCCCGTGCTCTCAAGACCCAGCTTTCGAGAAGGCGTCAGCTCTATGTCACGCGCCCCGCTTCTCTGCAGAGATAGGGCATCGGAGAGCGCGCGACAAGTGCGCCTTACACCCCGCCCCCAAAGGTCGCACCGGCTAACGTCTTGCCCGCGGGCCCCGCGAGGCTCCGAATATTTTCAGACCGGCCAGGCCCATGTCTAGGAGGGTGGGCCCGCTAAGGGCGTCCTTCGCCAAGCAACAGTTTTGTCTGATGGGCGCAGTCGAGACAACGTTTTCTTGCTCTGGGGGTTCCATTGTTCAGCCTGATCATATTATCCACGCGGAGGCTGGCGCCAAAAGCCGTTGCGGTTGCCTGCTCTGGATTAACTGGGGTCCGACTGCAACCCGAGCGTTGCTGCGCGCTCCCAGCGACTGCCAGATTTCTTCTCACGGCGCTGCGCGCGTATCATTTTTCCACTCGATGCGCGGTTGGCGCGTGCTCCACGCGGCGAGATGTCAGCAGCCGTGCTCAGCGGCGTTTGCCGGGGATGCGAGTGCTCGAGTTGCTCGTGGCGGCCGAATTCTAGAATGTTCTTGGGGGCTAGTTCCACGGCTTTCTTTGCGACTCGGACATCTGGGCCCCGGCCGCCCTCCTGGAGCGCGGGCGGGCCTCGGCGCCCACTTGGCCCCCATCCTGGGTCTCGCGAGCATGCCTCGGGAGGCGCGTGGACTGCGGGATCTGCTCCTGCGGGGGTTATGTGGATATGCGGCGGGCGGTTTCTGATATTGATATGACTATATCCCTGTTTGGTCATCTCATGGTGGCCGCGCCGATTGGCGAGCACCTCGCGAAGGGCCGTTTCTTTTCTATCGGCGCGCGCAGAAGCCTGCTCGACGCCGCGGCCGGCGCGGAAGGCCCAGAAGCCGAGCAGGCGCGCGGTCGCCATTTGCACGACGGCCCGCCGGTTCCTTTCGAAACCTCTCTCATTCGGCGCTATCAGGAGATCAGCCCGTTCATCGAAATCTGCGTGGAAGCACTCCCCCCCCGCGCTCGCGCCGCCGACCGGCGGGGGCAGCTTCGGCGAACCTGGATCCCCGCAGCTGCTGTGGAGCGCGTGGGTGCTCGCGCTCGGCAGTTGCGCAGTTTCAGGAGCGCGGGTCGCGCGCTCGCTTGCGCCCGCAGCCCGCGATCGCCGTTCGCTCCTGAGGGGGGGGGGGGCCTCTCAGGGAGCAAGGCGCCGATGCGGCGCAGAGCAGCGCCGCCCGCCCACTCGCGCTCCGCAGTTTCTCCCAGAGATGGGCCGCCAGACGCGCGCGGCGCGCCCGGCTGCTGGGCCCCCCCACCGAGCGCGAGCATCGCATGGGACAGACCCTCGCAGCTAGAGAATTCGCCGAGGCCCCGCCCAGGTTCGCCGACTCGTCGGGGGACATCGTGAAATTCTTAGGTCCTTGGGAAAGGCAGCCCCGCAGCTTCCTGAAAGTTGACAGGCCCAGCGCATGCGCGCTTGAGGCACTGTTCTATTCTTCGAGTATCTGGACATCGTGGTTTTGCTGCCTGCCGGCGTTATTTTGTTCGGATGTCCGGGGTCGGCTTAGCCGTCGGATTGGCCGCTCTGGAGGTCGACGCTCAAATCGTCAATCGGCTCGTCAATCTAGATGCCGGGGCTCATTCGGCGCCCGGGGCTTCGAAGGTCAGCGAAGGCCCGTCAGGATGTCAAGGCAGCCCTCGTCAAACTAAGGGCCATGGGAGTTCGCTCACGCCGGGCGCAATCGACCATGCATTTTCTTTCGCAGCATGGAGCGGATGGATTGCCGCTCCGATCGCGCGTGGATTGCGGCGGCAGCAGCACTTCGGTGAAGACTGGCCTCGCCAGTCGTTCCCAAATCCGGCCTCCCGCGGTTCTTCCGGTCTTCGCCTCAGTTCAAGGAGTCGGCCACTCGCGATATCGACGCGTCCATCGAGGGCGCGCTGCCCCTAGGCAGTTTGCAGCGCTCGCCCGTCGGCGCTGAAAATTCTGCTGCGGGTCCACGCGCATCCCAGGTGCAGTGCTCAAGAGGCTCGCCATCCCCTTCAGCAGTTGCCACCTGCCCGCGCGCGTGAAGAGCTCCGCGAGAGTTTGCGAGTCCACGCAATTGAAGGGTGAGTTTTGTCAGATTTGTCCCAGCCAGGGGCGCCCTCCAACGCGAAGAATTGCTTGTCCATCCCGGGGCCTTCGCAGGTTGTGAAACGTTTCAAGGCCCGCGCTCGTGCCAGCGCTGTTTCAGCTTCGCCGTCGGCGGCTGGAGATCGGCAGTTTGGGGGCGCCGCGGGAAGGGCGGCCGAATTCGCAGCGCCGGCAATGCCCGCGTTTCAGCAGGTCGCCGCCGCTAGGAAACGCATTGTCATGACGCTGTTTACCGGTGCCGCCCAGGCGTTTTACAACTCGGGCCGCGAGCGTGTTTTTCGCACCTCTGCCGACAATGAATCAGTCGGTCGCCTCCTCAAGTGGCGCGAGCCCCCTCTCGAGAGGCTCCTCTAACATCGTATGATATTCCTCAATATTGGGGAGTTGCGGAGTTGCGGGGTTCAGGAGCATTCAATCGGACGCCCGCGGACAGTCCTGACTTTTTATTCTGGTCAGGGAAGAAGTCGAATTTCCGCACTTGGGGTCTGGTCCGCGTCAGCAACTTGGGGATCTAATTTTCAAGCACGTCATATCTCGGATCGCGAAGGTCGCCCAATCCAGTCTGCTGGACCGGGGCGCCAGGCCCAGGTTGCCATCGCATTTAGTTTCACCTATGGCAGCCTTCCATGGAGAAGACTTCAACTTGTCAAAGCCAGTGCACCTTCGCCACTCCGCGGATGCAGCTTTCTTTGGAGATGTCTTATTTTCCTTCGAGGGCAAGGCCGACATTCCGTTGCTCCTGGCTCCGTTGACCGTTGCGCTTGGGACTGAAACGTTCAAAAAAGTTAGGGCTCCAAGTCAATGTCGAGCCGGAGAAGCCTGCGTTGCATTCGCTGTTTCGGGGGCCGTCGTTCCGGAAAAATCGCGCGCGTCTCGTCCTTGATTTGCGCGGCACCATTCATGCGCGCGCCCATGCCATGGGCGCTGTGGCGTTGCACTGCGTTCAAGAATACGTTCGCTTCGGCGCCGAGCACGACGCGTCGGCACCCGCGGGTCCTGCGCGAACTCACGGAGCGAATGGGCAGCTCAAGGCCTGAAGGGCCCTACGTTCTAGAGCCTTCAAGCACGCGGCCATCGAACAGCACGTGGCCCTCACTTTTGATTCGGGCGCCTGCGCGGGTCGCCTCGCCCAGTCCAGCGCGCGAGGGTGTCCGACGGCAGCGCGGCGCAGGCAGCTTGCGGACGGAGTGGCCAGGCATTGCCGCGCCGTCTGCCGCGTCGAGACGACACGGCCGTGAACCATCGGTGTGTCATGGCAACCGCGAACCGCCCCCCTTCCCCCCTCTCTGCGTTGCTATCTGCTCGCAGCCTCCGCGCTTTTGGCCGCCGACTCCGCGCGGGGCCCCCTCGCGTTTCCGCCGTCGCCCAGGCGGGCCTCTGGGTGCTTTGCGGGTCTGGGGGCCGTGTGATATTGGAGGATCTCAAATGGTTGCTGCCGCTTACTTCCAGGCCCCAGCCGCGCCCCAACCCAGCCGACCAACAGCCCCGTGGAAGAACTATTCGCCCAGCGCTGGCAACTCACGCGCGTTCTTTGGCGCGGCGAGAATCTCTTGCGAAGACTGCAGGGGTGGATATGTTCAAGATACTTGAGTCAGCGGGGGTTGCCTTTGCATGCGACGATCCCAGATATCATTCGAACGTCGGTGGCCGAGGTGGCCCGAGTGCACGAGCGCATGTTGCGCGCGCAAAAGTTTAACCAGATCCGACGCCTCCGAGCTCGCATTGGTCGCGCCCACCACGCTCGACTACGCGCCGCACGTAGCATGCGCGGAGCAAGTCTGCATCGCGTTACTTGTAACATGCAGTTTGCGCACAGGCCCGCCTTATCCGCGCGCGTTGCGCTCGACTCAGCCGAGCGCGTCGTTGGCCCCATGCATGCGCGCAGGCAACGCGCCTCAGAGGTGGCCACCAGTTTGAAAAAACAGCAGGCTGAACCCTTGAAGGCGCAGCGAGGCGCTCGCCGAGGCAGGCGGGGAACGGAAGTCCCAGCGCACAGCGCCATTGGTCAGGCCCGGCAAGCCAATGTCGAGGAATTGCCTGGAGACCCACCCCTGAAAGATCTCAGCTGAATTCCCTGGAATGTGATTGCGCCGCCCCCCGACAGAATTCAGGTTTAGCTTCAAAATTGTGCGGTGGCCCGCGCCCCCCCCCCCCCAGAACCTTGCGAAATGCCATTGTTTGTCTTCAATCCTGGAAAGTATCGAAATCGTGCTGCTGCGCAGGTGCCCACCCGCATCCGTCGACCCATCCTGCGCGCGCTCAACCTGCATAGCGGCCAGCGTCGCTCAGATCAGCGTCAAGTGGATTTCCAAGTTGCACATCCGTCGGTCGAACATCGCTGTTCTCAGCGTAGACATTTCCATGGACCCCGTTCGGGATGATATCATAAGAGAGGCCGCGCCCATGGAGTTGGCCGAACACTTCCGAAGCCATCGAGTCATTGGCGCTGTGCGGGGGGGGGGGGGGGGGGGGGGGGGGCCGCGAGACCTGGTCGGCTTCCACGTGGCATGAGGCCCCCCCCCGCTCGCTGAGGTCCACTCACTCAGTATGTTTGGGGCTCACCTTGGGTGTCTTCGAAGCAATATATGCAGCTCAGACTTGGATCTCAAGCATTGTTCTCTATGGTTTGGCTTCCCTCCGAAGATCCAAGAGCCAGCGCTAACAAAAGCGCCCCCCCCCCCACCCCCCACGCATGCACGCCTGGGCCCAACATGTTCCTGCCTCTTTTCGCTGGCGTCCCGTGCAGGCCCTGGCAGCAGCTCCTTGCGCTGCCAGCTCTTTCAGGATGCGCGTGAGTTTCGGGGCAGTTGACTGCGACCCTCGGCGGTCGGTCGAGCGCCCACCTGCGCGCTTTCCATTCGCATGCCTCCCCTTCCCCGCCTTCTCCGGGAAGCGCCTGGGAAGGGGGGGGCTCCCGCGGCAGGGGGGCCCACGGGGCCATCCTAGGCAAGAGCGAGGCCGGCGTTTTTCGGGCGGCCTCAAAGAAGACGCGCCTCTCTGGCTTTTGTCAAGCCCTAGCCACGGCTGTCGTGGACTCCGTGCGTTCCCATCGTTGCGGCACCTCCCCTTCGCACGATCCTGACGTGTTCCACTTGGCGTGCGCGCCCGATGAGGCGGCCTCGCGCTCTCTCGCGGAGTTGCATGCTAGTCTTGCTAAGGACGCTCTGGAGACCCCCCCCGCCCACGACTTTGACGGCGTTCAGCGTGCGTGTCGTGTTCGTCAGGATTTGGGGGCCTTCAAGTTTTTTGATTCTTCAGGAGTTTGCCAGGCCCATGGGCGACCGATCGGTGGAAGCAGAGGCAGAGCAAGAGGTAGGGGACCAGCTCCTCGGACATTGGAAGAACGATGCTGTCGCCCTGGCCGCTGATCTCTTCCGGGCCTCTCCTCGCCCTTTTTCGCTTCCATTGCCCGAGGAAGATCTGCGCGGGCCCGTTGGACATCTTCGGCCAGGGCATTGGTGAATTCATCATCGTGGAGAAAATGTTCGGGCCACTTTTCGGTTCGAGCCCGCGCGTCCCGCCACGCGCGGCCCCGAGTAGGATCCTGGGCGCGCGCGGAGCACTGGACAAAAGCACCTCCGCCTCCCCCCGCCCCCTCCCTCTCGCCCCGGCGCAGCAGGCCCGGATTGCAGCCCGCCGTTAGGCGGCCCTCGGCCTTCGCGCGGACCGCCGTAGCTGGCAGGCGGCGCCCCTGGGGCGAGGCAGGGCCGCCCCGCCCCGCTTAATGCCAAGGGCCGGCCCAGGGGGAACGGGCGGCTCGCGGGGGCGGGGGCCCGATCAGCTTTGTTCGACTTGCTGGGCTAGGCCGCTGCTGCCGCCTGAGCCTCTCTTTTTTTCCTCCTGCTCAGTAGCGTTCCTGTCTGGCGTCTGGCGCAGGAAGAAGTGCTGACATCGACAGCGGCACTGGCCCATTCCGCCATGGAGCGAGCGCGCTCTCCTCCTCCTCTTCCTCCTCCTCCTCCTCCTCCTCCTCCTCCTCCTCCTCCTCCTCCTCCTCCCCCTCCTCCTCCTCCTCTCCTCCTCCTCCTCCTCCTCCTCATTTTTCTCCTCCTCCGCCTCCGCTCCGCCTCCTCCTCCTCCTCCTCCTCCCTCCTCCTCCTCCTCCTCCTCCTCCTCCTCCTCTTCCTCCCCTCCCCCTGCTCCTCCTCTCCATCCTCCTCCTCCCCCTCCTCCTCCTCCTCATCTCCTCCTCCTCCTCCTCCTCCTCCTCCTCCTCCTCCTCCTCCTCCTCCTCCTCCTCCTCCTCCTCTCCTCCCCTCCTCCTCCTCCTCTCCTCCTCCTCCTCCTCTTCCTCCTCCTCCTCCTTATCCTCCTCCTCCTCCTCCTCCTCCTCCTCCTCCTCCTCCTTCTCCTCCTCCTCCTCCTTCTCCTGCTCCTCCTCCTCTTCCTCGTCCTCCTACTCCGTCATCTTCGCTTCCTCTCCCCCCTCCCTCCTCGCTCTTCCTTCTTCCCCTGAGAGCCCCGAACAGGAAGAGGGTGCAGCTCAACGCGACGCTCACCGTCCTCGAGGATTCCGTCGTCGCCCGGCTGCAGGGCGGCCTCCTGTTGCCGCTCGCCGGCGCGGCGCCGTGGCGCCGCCTCGTCGTCACCGCGGCGGACCCGTGGACGTCTGCGGCGTCGTCGTCGTCGTCGTCGTCGTCGTCGTCGTCGTCGTCGTCGAGCTTGGGGGGGAGGCAACGCTAGGGGGGGGGATTCAGAGGAGGAAAACGTGCCCATACCGATACCCCTCCCGCGTTTTCCCCGTCCTTGGCCTCCTGGAAAGTCCTCGTCGCCACCGCTGGATTCTCCTTGAAATCTTTGTCTGAACGGACCCCAGGAGACGTCCGGGGAGTAGCGGTAGGCTCGTCGTCGTCGTCGTCGTCGTCGTCGTCGTCGTCGTCGTCGTCGTCGTCGTCGTCGTCGTCGTCGTCGTCATCATCATCATCATCATCGTCGAGCTTGGGTGGGGCAACGCAGGGGGGGATGTAGGCTCGTCGTCGTCGTCGTCGTCGTCGTCGTCGTCGTCGTCCTTGGGGGGGGCAGCGCTAGGGGAGGCAACGCTTGGGGGGGAAGGCGACGCTAACGAGGCAAGGTCGGGGGAGGCAACGCTAGGGGGGAAGGCAATGCTAGGGGAGGAAGCGTCGACCCCGAGTCGCTCACGAGTCTCCGATAAGGGGCCCGAGAGAGCCCACCCAGCCCTGGAGCGCCGATCTGTCGGCGACGCATCGCCGATTCGAGGTCGACGTCCCCCCCACCCTGGGCTTGCCCGCCCCACCTTCGTCGACCTTCAGGAGGGAGGGGGAGGAAGGGAGAAGGAGGGAGAAGGATGAAGAAGGAGGAAGAAGGGGGAGAAGGAAGAAGGGGGGAAGCAGAGTGAGGGAAGAAGGGGGAGAAGGAACAAGGGGGAGAACGAAGGAATGGGGAGAAAAAGGGAGAAGGAGGGGGAGAAGGAGGGGGAGGAAGAAGGGGAAGGAAGAAGGGGAAGGAAGAAGGGGGAGAAGGAGGGAGCAGGGGGTCTGTTGGATCTGCTGCGATGGGATCACCGTCCGAAGAAAGAGAAAAACGGCTTGGTGAGGCGCACGTCAGGCCTTTTCTTGCACACGGGCAGGGGGCGATATCCCTGCAGGCGGCCCGCGGCAGGGGGCACCCTGGAGGGGGAGAAGGAGGAGGAGGAGGAGAAGGAGGAAAGGAGGAGGAGGAGGAGGAGGAGGATAAGGAGGAAGAAGGGGAATGGGGGAAAGGGGGGGGAGGGAGAGGAAGGAGGAGCGTCGTTTGTCGCCCCCTTGTCGTGCATCCTCTTCCCTGGTTCTGATTCACTCCGAATGAACGCCGAGGGCGCACTGGTCCCAAAAGTCACGATGCAACACAACATCACAGGCATGCCATCATCAAGCACCAAGAAAGAAGCCGGGTCAACGAACACAGTCTTTGGCGAAGTGGCCCTATCCCGGGTCTTCGCTGGACGGGTCAAGCGGCACGACCATGCTGCCAAATCATCGCGAATCTCGAGGTCACCAGGGTCAGAGTTCGGACAACCTGCATTCACGGCAACAAGAGCCTGGGCAAGGACGCGGCGCATCTCAGCCAGAGATTCTTTCGCCGCGGCAGTACCACAAATCATTCTGATTGTTGACTCGAAGCGACGCAGAAGATGCAGGAAACCGTCGTCGTTGCTATGCTCGTTGCATTACACAGCTGGGACAACAGTTGTAACATAATCAACCAAACGATCATGTTGAATGATTTGTAGACGGCAACGCCCAAATATCATAATTAAGTGATATTCGCCTTTCAATGTTGGCAGCATGCGCAGGTGTGCACCATGGGCCAGCTTACCGATATGCCATACTTTGGCTTGCACACCTGGTGGCAACATTGGGAAGCGGATGCCACTTAATGCCCGGGTGCTTTTCCAAGTTGGTCCTTCACTGGGCCGCTGGCATGCTTGCCAGGTACTAAAGTTTTTGACCATCGGCGGAGAATTGCATAGCTGATCCCGCGTGCGGCGGACGACCGATTAGAGTGCAAAAGTGCCCTGATGCGGAGTCGCGAGCCTTCGTGTGCTCTTCGGGATGGCCGGCCAGCGAAGCAAGAGCGACAGCGTTGGATAAGGATTCCCAGGGCCACGCCGGGTCAAAGCGAGAACGAAAACAATGGAGCATCGCGTTGACATCGGCATGACAAGGACGATGACGAAGATGACGTTTACAATCTCAAGTGACCCATGCGGGGTGATTGAGCTGTGAGTGGGTCCAAGTTGCAGTGGTTCCCGTGCCTATTCTTTATGGGACGGAGTAATTATCACACCGCTGTATGTATGTATGTATGTATGTATGTATGTATGTATGTATGTTCGTATGTATGTATGCTTACATGTATGTGTATATTTATATATATGTATACTCCTATCCATATAGTCCAGGAGTTGGAGATCAGGGGGTGAGATCGCAGTGGGATGGAGAGCCCCCCGCCAGGAAATCGGTTTTAGCTTCGTGTTCGTGTAGTGTACCGCCCCTCCGCCCCCGGTGGGCGCGCGGTGGCTTGGGGTGTCCCGCCGTGGTGTCCTGTGGTGTCCCGTTGGTGTCCCGTTGGTGTCCGGTCGGTGTTACGTCGGCGGTGGGCGGGCGGTGCCCAGAGTGTCCCGGTTTTGTATCGATCGGGAATTATCGTCACAATGGCATGTATCGTGATATCAAAAGTGAGATCGACACCGATGTTGATTGTAACATTGGTTGTGAGATAGAGAGCGGGGACAATAATGACATACCTATACGACCACCCTTCCGGTGATACGGAGGTTCGGGGGGGGGAACCAACGTCTCACTCGATCGGTCTCACTATCGATCTCAGTATCGATCTCACTATCGGTCTCGCTCGATCGATCTCACTCGATCGATCTCACAATCGATCTCACTCGATCTATCTCCTTCGATCGATCTCACACTTGATCTCACAATCGATCTCACAATCGATCACACAATCGATCTCACATTCGGTCTCAATATCGATTTCACTATCGATATCACAATCGCTTTCACAATCAACGTCATCATCATCATCGACATCATCAACATCAACATCATCACCAACGTCGTCATCAACATGAGGGCACCGTCATCATCATCATCATCATAAACATCATCATCATCAACGTCAGCATCATCATCGGGACAACATCATCATCATCAGCATCATCATCATCCCATCATCAACATCATCATCATCGGGACACAGTCGTCGTCATCATCATCAGCAGCATCATCAGAATCATCATCTTCATCGGGACACCATCATGATCACCATCGTTCCCATCATCAGCATTATTATCAACATCGTCATCATCCTCGGGACACCATCATCATGATCATCGCATCATCATCATTATCATCATCACCATCGACATCATCATCATCAACAACATCATCCTCATTGGGGAACCATCATCATCATGATCAACATCATCATCAGCATCGTCATTATCATTATTATCATCATCGGGACACCATCAGCATCACCATCATCATCATCATCAGCATCATCATCGGGACACCAAAATCATCATCAACATCATCATCATCAACATCATTATCGCTTGGACACCATTTCCATCAGCATCATCATCAGCAACCTCATCGGAATCATCATCATCATCATCGGGACACCATCATCGTGATCATCATCAACATAATCATCATAGTCATCATCATTCTCATCATCATCATCACCATCATCATCTCATCATCAACATCATCACCATCGGGACACAGTCATCGTCATCATCATTGAATCATCAGCAGCATCATTAGAATCATCATCATAATCGGGACACCATCATGATCACCATCGTTCCCATCATCCGCATTATCATCAACTTCGTCAGCATATTCGGGACACCATCATCATCATGATCATCGCATCATCATCATCGACATCATCATCATCAACAACATCATCATCATCATTGGGGAACCATCATCATCATGAGCAACATGATCATCAGCATCGTCATTATCATTATTATCATCGTCGGGACACCATCAGCATCACAATCATCATCACCATCATCATCATCAGCATCATCATCGGGACACCATAATCATCAACATCATCATCACTATCAACATCACTATCGCCGGGACACCATTTCCATCAACATCATCATCATCAGCAACATCATCGGAATCATCATCATCATCATCGGGACACTATCATCGTGATCATCATCAACATAATCATCATTCTCATCATCATTCTCATCATCGGGACACGTTCATCATCACCGACACCATCATCAACATCATCATCATCATCTTCATCGGGACACCATCATCCTCATCTCATCATCATCATCATCACCATCATCATCATCATCATCATTTTCATCATCATCATCATCTCATCATCATCATCATCATCATCATCATCATCATCATCATCATCGTCCTCGCGGGACACCGCGGGACACCGGCGGGACACCGCGGGACCGCGGGACACCGCGGGACACCGCGGGACACCGCGGGACACCGGCCGGCCGCCCGGAAGGGAGTCATTTGGTCCGGCCGCGCCTCAGCCACACGGGACACCAGCGGGACACCGGCGGGACACCGCGGGCCCCCGGCCGCCCGGAAGGGAGTCATTTGGTCCGGCCGCGCCTCAGCCACAGGAGACTTTCTCTCGCCCGCCCACGCAGCTTCGCCTCGCCCGCACGGCACGCACGAACACGAAACCGAAATCGATTTCCCGGTAGGGGGGCTCTCCGTTCCACTTCGATCTCACCCCCTCACCTCTGATACATCCCAGCGCAACATCGTCATCACGCGTCGTCGCTGACTCGAGGGCGCGTCACCAGCATCGTCATCAGCACACCCATCGCATTTGCCGTTCGTCTGTTTTTCCCCAAACTTCCTTATCACCCAAAGGGTGGTCGTATAGGTATATGCATATACACACCGCCAATCGAGGGTAATCGATCAAAGACGAAGAGGGTGGGCATCGAGGGCTTCGGGGTATAAGTGCTGAGTAGCACGCTACCAACAAGAAACGAACTGCCTTAACGTCGTCGTCGTCGCCGCCGTCGTCGACGTCGTCGTCGGCTTCGTCGTCGTCGTCGTCGTCGTCGTCGTCGTCGTCGTCGTCGTCGTCATCGTTATCGCCGTCGAAGTGCGGAGGTCGTCGTTCGAAGATCGGGGTTTGAAGACGTTCTGTTTTTGCCTCGGCTGGCACCCTGGTGGCCACGGCTGGTTGGGCCTTACGGGGGCGCCCTCGTGGCCACGGTTGGGTCCGAGGAGGAGCGAGGCGGGAGCAGGAAAAGGAGGGAGGAAGAGGAGGAGGAGGAGGAGGAGGAGGAGGAGGAGGAGAAGGAAGGCCGCGGAGGAGGAGGATGCAGGAGTTGGAGGAAGGTCGACCGTGACCGAGACGTCGACCGTGACGTCCGTCTCGACCACATGGGTGTCGACGACGACGACGTACTTGCCTTACTGGCTGCGGTGAGGGTGGCTGCGCCAACGGCGCTTCGCCGTCGGGGCCTCTGTAGTTCCTCCTTCCGCTGCTCGTTCTTCATCCCCTCCCTCCTCATCCCCATCCGTCTCTTTCCTGCCCCTCCTCGTTTCGGACCTCTTCCTGACATCAAATCATCGCTCCCGCGACTCATGCCTGAGCCCTCCAGCCCCCCGGCCGGATTGTTTTTTTTCTTTCGCGGGGGTCCACCTCTTCGGCGACCTGTTGAACCAGGAACCCCGGGCGGCGCATAGAGTCGTTTCCGTTTTCAATGCGCGCATTGCAGTTGGAACCCCTGAATCCTTCCGACTAGATTGCACCTAGTACTTGAATGCAACTGGTGCTGCTCCTTGAGTGCACCTGGTCCCGCAGTAGAATTACCGTGGATGTAAAGAATTAGCGCGACACCGATTCGTAACGTTGGAACTCGTCATTCAAAGGCCACGACCTCGAGGCTTCGGCAAGATCTCTGGCAGCCCGTGAACATGTAAACAATAACCGCGAACCACGGAAGCACTTTTTCTCAATCCGTGCTCATTTACGCTTAGGTTGTGTTCCATCTCTTTGCATGGCGGAATTCGACGTTACGAATGGGCTTCGCGTTAATTATTTACAGCCACGGTAGTATAAGAGTGCAACGAATAGTGCATCACAGTTCGTGTCACTCTTGGAGTGCGACAAAGGGGTGCAAGTAGTACTAGTACAATTTCCCAGAACAGCTGTTATTAGAGTGTTGCTGCGTTGCATTTACAATCTGGCCTCTCGCGCTTCTCATCTAGTTGCGCTGGGGGGTGGGGCCCCGCGCGCCAGCACCCCCGCGGTGAGAGTGCATTCCTCTTCCGGAATTCCAGGCAGGGGTAATCCCCCGTGCTCGAACCCCTCGCCAGGGATGTCTTTTTTTGTTCCTCCGCGGAAACTGGACCCTCTGGGTTCCTCGGCGTGCCCCAGAAATTCGTTCCTTCCGAAAGGTCACCCATAAGTCCTGCGTTGGAGTCGCCCGGGTGATATCACATGGCACATATAACTCGTTTGCGACGCAAGTCGTACGATTTGTGCACCTATGAGGGTTCACCATCCTTGACAAGCACCGCGTAGTTCGAGGACAAAACTTGAACTTGGTTTTGGCGATCGGCAAGCCCGAAGCACATGAGTGACACCCAAGTCGGCAGCGCCCTAACGGCAGAGAGTTTGAAGCGCCAGTGGGACGAGTTCGATGTCCAATGCGGGATCATTTCGGCATCTTCGGGCTCGCGTCACCGATCATGGTGCTAGCCCGAGTTCCCGCTTCCCCTTCCCGATCTGATGTGTCACCGCCTCTTCATCGAGGTGCGCGTTGTTGGCGACAACGCACTGTCGTCGGCCGCTCCGTCTGTGGTGGCCTGGCGCCTAGTCCGAGCTAGGCCGCGGGCGCACTGCGAGCTGAAGTCTGCTGAGAAAAGTCCTCCGGTGCCGCGTTTGGCGAGGCGCACCTTTGTTCCAAGGCAGGTGATGGCAATTGTGAGGAGGAGGAGGAGGAGTCAAGCGACGAGGAGAAGGAGGAGGATGAGGCGGAGAAGAGGAAGGACGGAATAATGAGGAAAGGGAGGAGGAGAGCGAAAGAAACGATGATGATGAGGAGGAGAAGAAGGAGGAGGGAAGGGAAAAGGATGGGGAGGGGAATGGAACGATGAGGAGAAGGGGGGGCAGGAGGAGAGAGGAGTCAAGGGAAATGGGAGAGGAGAGTGGAGGGAGGAAAGAGGAGAGCCAAAGGAGAGAAGGATCCTGATCGATGAGGAGAGAGGGATAGAGAAGGAGAGGGATCGAGAGAGAAGAAGAGAGTGGAGGAGAGAGGAGATGCAAGCACCACAAGACTCGACGGCAGCCGCAGGGCAGCGTTCGCGCCCCCCTGCTGCTTCTGGCCCTGACCTCCAAGAACTTGAAGCAGCCTCCCAACCCTTTGAGAACCAGCAGTCTGGAGGTCGCCAGAGATCTCTGGAAGTCCTCAGAGGAGGTACCATGGAGGCTTCTGGAGATCCCAAGAAAGAGGCCAAGAGCGTTCGAATACCTCTCGATCCTTCTCATCCCTCTCCCTCCTCCTCCCTCTCCCTCCTCTCCCCTTCCCTAATCCTCCTCCTCCTCCTCTCCCCCATCCCTCCTTATTTCCTTCCCCCGATTGTCCAGATCACGGCTGGAGTCCTCCTCTTTCTGCTCCTCCTTCCTTGTTTCTCGTCCCCCCCTCCTCCCTTCTCCTCATCCTCTTTTCCTCCTCCTTCCTTACTTCTCTCCCTCCCCCTCCTCCTCCTCCTCCTCCTCCTCGTCCTCGTCCTCGTCCTCCTCCTCCGCCCTCCTCCTCCTCCTCCCTCCTCATCCCTCCTCCTCCTCATCATCCCTCCTCCTCCTCCCTCCTCCTCCTCCACCTCCTCCTCCTCCTCCTCCACCTCCTTCTCCTCCGCCCTCTTCCTCCTCCGCCCTCCTCCTTCTCCTCCGCTCCTCGTCGTCGTGAGCAATCCTTCTCGTCGCACGGCCAGGACGTGTCCGCAGGGGCGGCCCTGGGCGCGTCGCCCGAGACGCCCCCCACCACGCCTCGCATCCCGAAGTCTTCCAGCCGAGCGGCCCTCCAGCAGCTGCACGGCTAACCGGCGGCTCGGGCCCTGGCGCCACACACACACACACAGGCACACGCACACACGCAAACACACACACGCGCACACACCCACACGCACACAGCACACGCACACACGCACACACACAGCACACACACACACACACACGCACACGCACACGCACACGCACACACCCACACGCACACGCACACGCACACGCACACGCACACGCACACGCACACGCACACGCACACACACAACACACACACAAGCACACACAACACACAAACGCATACACACAATCAACACACACACACCTGTTCTGTTGGCGAAGGGCGCCTCGGCACCCAGATCCTCGAGGTTCGATCCCTCCTTGCCTTTCCGCTGCTCAAGATGAGGCCTGGAGGGAGGGAGGGAGGGAGGAGCAGGAGGAGGAGGAGAAGGAGGAGCAGAGGGAGGAGGGTGAGAATGCGGAATGGACGGGACGAACGGTTGTGGGAGGACGAGGAGCAGGGAGAGGAGGATAACGAACGACGAGGAGGAGGAAGGGGAGAGGGCAGATGAGTAGTAAGGGGAGAAGAGAGAGAGAGAGAGAGAGAGAGAGAGAGAGAGAGAGAGAGAAAAAAAAAAAAAAACGAGACGATGAGAGAAGGTGGAAGGGGTAGATGAACAGGATGGGGAAAGGGTAGAGAGAATGAGGAGGTGAAACTGGCGGCTGATCCTCCAAGTTCGATCCTCCTCCTGTTCCCTCCTCCATCCTCCTTTTCCTCCTCCTCCTCCTCGACCCTGTTCGTCAATTATCCAAGTTTGGTCATCCTCAATCCTCCTCCTCCTGGTCCAGCACGTTCTCAAACCCGTTTCCACAAAAGGGCGTGGCAAGTTCCACCGTTGGAACCAGTCTGACTGGACCTCCCGCTTTAATCCGACGGGGACGCGGGATCCCAGATTTTTCGGGTATCTTGCAGGCAAGCTTTTGCGCAGCCTCGAGTCATTGTTCTTGAGTCATCCTAGCAACCGGGACGCTCCGCTTTCGACGGGCGCATCCTCCCCCTCCTCGCCATCATTCGCCATCATCACCGTTAGGCATAATCATAATCACAAGTGCTGGGTTTCCCCCAAACAGTGCTCGCCTTAAGTGGTTCTTACTTCTTGCAAAGGAACTGGGCTGGTGTGGCGATCTGGCGGCTGTGTTGTCGCCGTCGCCGCCCCGTCACCGCCTCGTCGCCGCCCGTCGTCTGGGCCAGTGTTGCGGTCTGGCGGTTATGTTGTGGGCGTCGCCGCCCCGTCGCCGCCCTGAATTGCACAATATAGATTCTCCGCTCTGCAGGAGTATTCGGATCTACCCCCCCGGGGTTAACGGTACACTTTTTCGTATTGCAGTTTGAATTTGATTATGCCCTTATCGTCCATCCTACATTTGAATTCGCACCATCCCAGACAGGACGGTATCGGTTATTCCTCTCCTCCTTCGGAGAAATACTATGCGCGCGCACTCGTTCATCAACAAATCATCAGTTTTGAAGAACCCCTTGCAAAACACAGCCGAAGTTCACACACGCGCGTCGTTACGCGCGCGTGCCGCAATCTTTCAAACACCTATTTGCTTTCGTGAGTACTTAAAAATCGAGCGTCCTGAAAACATATAAGAGCAGATGGCTTCGGAACACGGGTTTTCAAAAAGAACCTGCGTCAGTGTTGTTGTCCATGTTGTAGAAAATCATGGCATTCTTAACAATTTCATCAACATGTTACCAAACGGGCCTTTCGCGCGCGCTTGTCGAAATCGCCCGACACCCCTTGCGCGCGTCCTGTCGCAAGAACCCCTTGCAACAAACGGAACAACGTGCACACGCGCGCGTCGTCGCGCGCGCATGCCGAAATTCTTTGAAAACCACAGGTATTGCAAGGATATCAAAAACGAGTGCCCCGAATGCATATATGAATATGTGGATATATTTACACATATATTTATATACATATGTATATATATGTATATGACACGTGGTTTTGCAATATCAGTGTTTTAATCAGAAACCTGCGTTCGCGGTCTTGCGGGCCCTCAGATGTTCATCAAATTCTGCCAAAAAGGCCTTGTCGCGCCACATGTCGAACTCATTCGAACGCCCTTGCGCGCGTACTGGGGAAGGGGGGGGGGCATGATCCGTTTCAAATAATACCGCGCGGGCCACTCGCCTGCGTCGGCCGCGCGAACATGTCGAATTCCTTCAAAGACCTGTACCGCCGACGAGGGGACATTGTCATTGCTATCGGCGGGCGTGATCAACATCAGCGCCGTCATTGGCCTTGCCGTCGTCATCGCCACCACCGTCACCATCATCGCTATTCTCATAATCGTGTCTACTGTTGTTGGCGTCGGCATGATGCCGCGCCCGCCCAAGTTACCGACTCGCACTGAAGTGCCCGCCAGAAAGTGCCCAGCGGTCAACGCCACCGCGGCCGCGTCGGTCGCGCCAAACTAGCTTGTCGCTGCGCGCGCGAGCAAGGACGGGCTAGCGCAGCCGCAGAGATGCACCAGCCAACGCCGAGCACTTATTGCAATCGCCGCAGCATGGATTCTGCAAAGCAAGTTGCAGATGGGTGGATGGGATGTTTGCGCAAGCAGTGGAGTTGACAATTTCACGTTCGGCATGGTGAATTCTCCTTTCTAAAAACAGAATAGGATCTGGCCCCCCCCCCCGGCGTTATCGGTCCCCCTTTCGGGTATGTAAATCACATGTGATTATGACCACACGCTCATCCTAAATTTGAATTTACACTCCCAGGGGGGCCGGTATCCCCCCCCTGAGGGTCCCTTGTAAAAAAACACTATGCGGTGACATGCTTCGTTCTAACATAACATGTTTTCGCGAATCCCTTGCAACAAATGGGACGAAGTGCACACGCGCGCGTCGTCGCGCGCGCATGCCGAAATCCTTCAAAAACCTTCGGTGCCCGAAGGATTTCGCAATCGAGCTTCCAAAAAAAACATGCAAAACCACATGGTTTCGCAACACTGATTTGCTAAAAAAAATCCGCGCGAGCTTTTGCGAAATCTTAAGACAACCATAGGTTTTTCAAGATTTTCACAAAATGCTACCAAACGGGCTTCGCGCGCGCATGTCGAAATCTGTCGAACGCCCTTGCGCGTGTGCCGTCGCGAGAATCCTCTGCAAAAAATGAAACGAAGTGCAGACGCGCGCGTCGTCGCGCGCGTGTGCCGAAAACCTTCAAAACCCATCGGTTTCGGAAGGATTTCAAAATTGTGTGTCCAAAAAACCTACAAAAACACAAGGTTTCGCAACACGGATTTTCAACAAAAGCGTGCGCGCGCGCTCTTGCGTCGTCGTCGTCGTCCTCCCTCTTCCCTCGTCGTCGTCGTCGTCGCCGTCGTCGTCTTCTGTTTCCTCGCCGTCGTCGTTGTCGTCGTCTTGGCGTCGTCGTCGCTTCCGTCGTCGTTGTCGCCGTGGTCGTCCTCCCTCCCTCGTCGTCTTCGTCGGCGTTTCGTCGTTGTCCCTCCTATTTCGTCGCCGTCGTCGTCGCCGTCGTCGTTGTCGTCTTCACTCCTCCCTCGTCGTTATCCTCCCTCGTCATCGTCGTCGTCCGTCGTCGGCGTCTCATTGTCGTCCCTCCTATTTCGTCGCCGTCGTCGTCGTCTTCGTCGTCGTTGTCGTCGTCGTCTTCCCTCCTCCCTCGTCGTTGTCGTCGTCGGTGTCGCCGTCCTTCCTCCTTCTTCGTCGTTCGCGTCGTCGCCGTCTTCCCTCCTCCATCGTCGTTGTCGTCGTTGTCGCCGTCGTCGTCCTCCCTCCTCCCTCGTCGTCGACTTCGTTGACGACGTCGTCGTCGTCTTCGTCGTCGTCGGCGTCGGCGTCGTCGCCGTCTTCGTCGACGTCGACGTCGGCGGTGTCGTCGTAGTCGGTGTCGGCGGCGCCGTCGTCGTCGTTGTCGCTGTCGTCGTCGGCGTCGGTGTCGTGGCCAAGTGCCATGTGGTACCTACCGTCACGGTCTTGTCTTAAAAAGTCTTGCGACCAATTTGCGGGTGGGTGGGTGGGATGTTTGCGCGAGCAGTGGAGGTGGTCAGGCGCGGTGCAGGGTAGTCAATTACACCGCATAGATTGCACCACAAGTATTGCACCGCACGGACTGCACCACCATATCGCTTGCAAAACATAGATTGCATTGCACAGATTGCACCACGTAGATTGCACGACATAGGTTGCAGCACATAGAGTGCGCAACGTATACTGCGCAACGTAGATTGCACGACATAGGTTGCAGCACATAGAGAGCACAACGTATATTACACCACATCGATTGCACCACTTAGGCTGCACTACATAGCTTGCACATCATAGATTGAACCACCAAGATTGCAGCACGTGGAATCCACAACATATATTGCACCACGTGGAGTGCGCAACATGTATTGCACGACGTAGATTGCACAACGTAGAGTGCACCACGTAGATTGCACAACAGAGGTTGACACTTCGACTGCAACACGTCGTTTGTACGCCATGCACTTAACTTATGGCACCACATGGACTGCACAACATAGATTGCATTACGTAGAATGCATAAGATATTGCACCACTTTTTTTGCACCACATCCATGCACAACGTAGATTGCACAACGCAATGTGCACCACATATATGTACATATGTGTGTATGTATGTATGTATGCATGCATGTATGTATGTATGGATGGATGGATGGATGGATGGATGGATGGATGGATGGATGGATGGATGTATGTATATCATGTTTCATTTGGTTATGGCAAGCCTGCTTGCAAGGACTGGCGGAGGGGCTCTTCGGCGAGCCTTCGGGGGGAAACTGGAGATCAAACCAGTCGAGAAAATCGTTGATTCTGTGGCTGCCCAGTACAAAATGAAAATACGGCGCGGGGTGTGATAGTGGACGGGGGACGATGGCAAAGTGTCACGCAATGGTATTCGCCAGATTTTTTAACGATGAAAAATCGTGAGCTGGCAGCCAGCATCCATACTGGAGCGACTCCCAGATTTCCACGCTGGAAATCTGGGGGGTGGCTACGTGTGTGAGTTGTCGGATGGGGGTTCGCGCTCGAGCCGGAGCCCCCCTCGTGGCCCGACAGCTCGCGCCCATAGTCACAGCCCCCGTTTCGTCTCGCCCTTCAACATTCCCTGAGACCCGACGTTGCCACAAAAAATTGCAACATCGCAAACGATCACGCCTGGACCCCGGGACTATCTTTTTGCGTCATTTTTCGAGTCGGATCGATATGTGAGGGTAAAAACAAACGAAAACGCCCGTTGCGAAAAAGATGCAACGCCAGGATCTCAAGGTATTCTGGCCTTGGGACCGCCCGAAGATCACCAAACTTTGCCCATCCCGCCTTGCCGTGCGCGTTCATCTTCGCGTCCTGGAGGAGGAGGAATAGGAGGAGGAGGAGGAGCAGCAGCAGCAGAGGCGCCGAGGAGGAGGAGGAGGAGGAAGAGGAGGAGGAGCAGGAAGAGCAGGAGGAGGAGGACGAATAGGAGGAGGAGGAGGAGGAGGAGGAGGAGGAGGAGGAGGAGGAGGAGCAAAACTGAAACGTCTCAGCTTTTGCAGCCCAGGGCCGGCGGAAGGGGCCGCGGAGGGCCGGCGCCACTGCTCCCCCCTCGCGCCCTGCGGGGCGATGCCGGCGGACGCGCCACGTTCGTTGTTCGAGGTCCTCCTGTCCGCTCTTCTCCTCCCTGCCCCCCTCCCTCCCTCTTTCCCTCCCTCCCTCCCTCCCGCCCTCCCTCTTTCCCTCTCCACCATCAGAGCGTGTTTTTTATTGCTTGGGGCATAACGGGCGTTATACAGCCCCCGGCCCCTCGCCCCCACCTTTGACGTAAGGCCCCCCCCCCCCCAGTGCCGCCGTGCGCAGCGGGATCAGCATAGGCGTCCGCATAGGAATCCGCACAGGAGTCTGGTCCGCATTTGGAACTTCATGGGGATCCGCATGGGGATGCGCATGCGCATCCGCATGGGGATCCGCATAGGGATCCGCGTGAGGATCCGCATAGGGATTTGCATGGCAATTCGCATGGCAATGCGCATGGGCATCCGCATAGGCATCCGCATCGGGATCCACATAAGCATCCACATTAGGACCCGCGCAGGGATCCGCACAAGGATCCGCCTAGGGATCCGCATAAGGATTCGCATGGGGACCCGCATGGGGATCCGCATAGGGATCCGAAATTGTGATGCTGTGTTCCTAGTGAAAGCTTCTCCTCATTCTCCTCCCTCTCCTCCACCTCCTCTTCCTCCTCTTCCTCCTCCTTCTCCTCCTCCTCCTCCTCCTCCTCCTCCTCCCCCGTTCTCCTCCCCCTCCTCCTCATCATCACAGCTTTTGGGTCAAGCCATTTCGGCGCCAGGCCTTGTGGTGTGCACAGGTATGGTGGTGCACGCAGATGGTGCTAAAATGATCGTGGTTCATGGCCCCTGGTCGTGGCTTGCACGCACACGCGCTGTGGTGCACGCAGGAGCGCTACCGTTGCCTGCCTTTTCTATTGCTTGCCATTCCTTTTCACGGGCGCTGTGGTGCGTGCAGTGGCCATGACGTGCACGGGCGTCGTGGGCTCAAAGTGCAGGAGTGCACGCAGGGCAAGAAAAAACAACAATCACAATCAATTCACGTATCGAATTTGATAATATCGACCGCCCCCACGATTCTCTGGCATTTGGTCCCGTCGGGACCCCATAGGGTCCCAGAGGTGCACGCAGGCCTTGTGGTGCGCACAGGAACTGTGGTGCACGCAGATGGTGCTGAACTGGTCGTGGCTCGTGGCCCCTGGTCGTGGCTCGTGCGCACAGGCGCTGTCGTGCACGCGGAAGCGCTACCATTTTACCTACCCCCCCTCGTCGTCGTCGTCGTTGCTGTCGTCGCTCGTCGCTCATTGCTCATCGTCGTCGTTCGCGCGGGCGCGGCTGTGGTGCTGGAGCCACACGGCGGGGGGGGGGGCGTTACGTTATACCCCATCCCCCCATGTGACGCCCGTTATCGCCGAAAACAAAGAAACGCGCTCTTACACAATATGGATGCTACTCTCCTCTCTCCCCCAAAAGGCGGCGGTGAGATTTCCTGGATGCCGCCGAATTGGTATTACTAATGTTGTTTCCCATCCGAACGTCTTCTTTTCATAATGGCGCTCACGCTACATCGTTGGCTATAGTTTCCCTTTCTCGGTCCTTCCAAATCATGCTCCTGCTGCAGCGCTGATAGATTGTCTTTGTTGTCGGCTCTTCCAAATCGTGTTCCTGCTGCAGCATTGGTTTCGTTTCCGCGTTTCCAGTCCTTCCAAAACGTGTTCCCATTGCAGCGCTGGTCTGGTTTCCGCGGTTTCGGTCATTCGAATTCCTGCTTTTGCTGTAACGCTGATCTCATTATGCGCTTCCCGCTTTCCAAACCGTCGATTTGCATGTCCCGTCCTGTGTGATGGATGGTTTCCCTCTGACCTTGTTGTCGAAATGAGTCGCGTCCTCGACGCGATGCCATGCAATGCCGTGCTATATCATGCATTGCGTACCTTCTACGGACCATTGCACTGTTCGACATCCGACGGTGCAAATAGAGAGGATATCTAAGCAGTGGTAAGGGACATGAGGGAGGGGTCGGACGTCAGAGATGAAGCTTGCGCTCCTGGCTAGTCTTCCTCCTCTCTCCTCCTCCTCCTCCTCCTCCTCCTCCTCCTCCTCCTCCTCCTCCTCCTCCTCTTCCTCTTCCTCTTCCTCTTCCTCTCCTACTCCTCCTCCTCCTCCTCCCCCTCCTCCTCCTCCTCCTCCTCTTCCTCCTCCTCCTCTTCCTTCTCCTCCCAGTGTTCGAGATCGTCCTCCTCCTCCTCCTCCTCTTTCTCCTCCTCCCGCTCCTCGCCCTCCTCACCCTCCTCATCCTCCTTCTTCTCCATCCTGCTCATTGTTGTCCTCCTCTTCCTCCTCCTCCTCCTCTTCCTCCTCCTCCTCCTCCTCCTCCTCCTCCTTTTTCCTCCTCTTACTTTTCGAGGTCCTCCTCTCCTCCTCCTCCCTCCTCCTCCTCCTCCTCCTCCTCTCCCCCTCCCTCCTCCTACTCTTCCTCCTCCTCCTCCTCTTCCTCCTCCTCCTCCTCCTCCTCCTCCTCCTCCTCCTCCTCCTCCTCCTCCTCCTCCCCCTCCCCCTCCTCGTCCTCCTGCCGTTCCTTCTCCTCTACTCCTGTTCTGCTGCTTCGAGCTGGTGGAGCGGACTCTGGGGCCCTCAAGAATCGAGCGAGCGAGCTCATCGACCCACGGGCAGACGAGGAGGTTGGGGGGCAGACGGTGCGTACTCTTCCTCTTCCTGGTCGTGCGGGCAGGGAGAAGGATGGCTCGAGGATTCGAGGAATGAAGCAGCGTCAGCTGTTACGCCCGGGTGGCGGCCTGCGCCCCGCGCAGGCCCACACGACCGAGACGATTGGCCCATACCTGGCCAGGCTCCGCGACCGGCGGCACAGGAGCACCACGACCCGGTTTCGCAGCCATTCCAAGCCCCGAAGTCGAGCCCCCCCCAGCCCCTCGAGTCGAGTCCAACCGTGGCGACGCTGGACAACGCCCGCTGCGCATTGCGAAGCCGAGCTCAGAGCACCGCGGGGTCCAAGGGCAAAGCCGAGTGAGAGGGGAGGGGGAGGAGGGGGAGGAGGAGGAGGAGGAGGAGGAGGAGGAGGAGGAGGAGGAGGAGGATGAGAGGAAGAGGGAGGAGGAGGAGGAGAGGAAGAGGAAGAGGAGGAGGAAGATGACCAGGAAGAGGCAAAGGAAGAGGAGGGGGAGGAGCAGGAGGAGGAGGAGAAGGAGGAGGAGGTGGAAGAGGAGGAGAAGGTTCACACTAATACTACTAATCATAGTAACGATAATTTCAATAACCATCATAATAATACTAATCATAGTAACAACAATAATGATAGTAAGAATAATATGCGTAACAAGAATAATAAACATACTTACTACTGATACAGATGTGCTGTGTAGATTGCTGTGTAAGAGTGATAAAAGATGTGGTGTGTATAGATATCCATAATAATGATAATACTAATACTAACAATCATGATAATGATAATAATGATAATCATGCTTGTAATAATAGATAATAACGGCTGCTTGCGTGTGTAGATTTGGCTACCTTGCGCCCCCTGAGCCCGCACACCAAAGAGCACTCTCGCCTAGGGTAGCTCTTGAGTGCAGCCGAATACAGTCAACGCGCCTAGTTAGGACGCGCGCCTTCATCTGGCCGATTCCGGGAACCCTGAACCCAAAAACGTTTGCACTTCTTGGGGACGCACTTTTTATTTCCGCCGCCTTCCAATGCCCTTCCGCCGGCTTCCGCCAGCGGAGGCGGCCTCGTTTTTTTCCGTCGACCTTCCGCCGCCCTTCCGCCACCTTCCGCGGCAGAAGAGATGATAATTCCTTCGATCCTCGAGGGCGAGGGCCTTTTGGAACGCCTCATCCAGGGCACCCTTGTGTCCTTGTCTGTGCGGCCCGTTCTTTGCCGTTTCCACTGGTCGCCCGGGCGACCAACTTCGGCCTCCAAGGGTCCTGCGTCCCTACCAGGCGTCCTGAATGCACATCTTGACTGTGGTGAGTCAGATGAGGTGGACAAGTGAGGTGATCTGGAGAGTGGCCCCCCGCGTGGCTGGCTGGCTGGTGAACAGATTACTGTTCTCATTGGCCCAAGCCTCTGGCCGTTGTTCCCCAAACAGCTTGCTGAACGGGGTGCTGTTGCGGGCAGCTAGACTTGCGTCGGGCGTGTCCCTCTACAGGAGGAACATTAAAATATAATAAAACAAAAGTATGGGGGCGATTATTCGATTACTTTTTGGAATATGCTTTGGTTTCTGTTGGGGCTATTGTTTAATTGTTCCTCCAACATCCGCCTGTAGGGGACATGCCCGACCTAAGCTAGTTCTGGCCGAGGGACAGGGGAGCAGAGAACTCCTCGAACAAATCTCCAGTTGTGAGACCTCCTCATCCTCCTCCTCCTCATCCTCCTCCTTCTCCTCACAACTCTCGCTTCTGAGTTGTCCAGGATTGGCCGCTTCGCACGAGACATCCTCGAAGAAAATCTGTGCTCCAGAAGGCCGCGCGCGAGGTGGTCCGGGCCGTGTCGCCCGAGACCTTGAAGCTCTCAGCCCTGAGATGCCGTGCGAGAGGTGGTCCGGCGCGTGTCGCTTGAGACATCCTCCCAATTTTGAGCTCCGAGACGCCGCGCACGAGATGGTCCGGCGCGGTTCGCCTGAGACATCCTCGCAAATCTGCGCTCCGAGCTGCCGCGCGCCAGGCGGTCCGGCGCGTTTCGCCTGATACATTTTCCCAATTCTGAGCTCCGAGACGCCGCTCGCGAGGTGGTCAGGCGCGTTCCGCTTCAGATATCTTCGTAACTCTGAACTCCGAGATGCCGCCCCAGAAGTGGCCCGGCGCGGTTCGCTTGAGACATCCTCGCAATTCTGCGCTCCCAGATGCCGCGCGCGAGGTTGTCCGGCGCGTTTCGCTTGAGACGTCCTCACAGTTCTGAGCTCTGAGCCGCCGCGCGAGAGGTGGTCAGGCGCCTTTCGCTTGAGACATCCTCGCACCCCTCAGCTCCGAGATGCTGCGCGCGAGGTGGTCCGGAGCGTCTCGCCTGAGACAACCTCATAATTCTGGGCTCTCAGAAAATGTGCGAAAGGGTGTGTGGCCCGTTTCT